CATTTACGGAGCCCCCAGGCCCAGGGCTTGAGCAGAGGACTGTTTCCCACAGGCCACGCCTGAGCGAAAGCAATGTAAACCACGGTGGTGTGGTAATAAAAACAGCCACGTGCTTTTTGGAGGGTCGCTCTTTCCGTGGTATCCTCTAATTCAGCAAGTTCCCCTAAAAATATAAAGCAAACCACTTATGTAATATTAAATCTTCTAGTAGTCATGTTAAAATGTAAAAAGGAACCAGTGAAATTAATTACAGAATTTTATTTAGCCCAATATATTTAAAATATTATCACTTCGACATGTAACCAGTATAAAAAGTCACAGATGCGTTATCTTACTTAAGTCTCCCAAATCAAGCATGACACTGGCAGCACATCTGAATTATGACCTGCTTCATTTCAAGGGCTCAAATGCCAGTGGTTACCTTGTCAGACAGTGCAGGTCTGAATGGTTCATCAATATCAACTCATGGAACCCTCACAACAACTCTACTCCCATTTCAGAGATGGCGAAACTGAGACCCAGAAAGATTAAGAAATTGTCAAAGAGCTAGCAATTGACTCAAACCCAGACTGTCTCGTTCCAAAGTGCACCCCTTGACCTCTATACTTCTTGTCTTCAATTACGGCTTAAAGGAGCGTTGAGGTCAGCTGGCCTGTGTTCAAGTTCAGGCTACGTCACTTAAAAGCCGGGTGTCCTGCATGATTTGCTTAATCACTCTGAAACTCAGAGTCTGCATCTGAAAAAGGGACAGTGACACCTAAGACAGAAGGCTAAGGGGTGACTTGATAGCCCTGAACCCAGAGATCATGGTGCCCAGCGAGCCTTGGATATACACTCAGTGTATTCAAAGCCACTGAGATTTCCCCCCTCATCGACTTCATCTGAGCAGAGCCTCAGACATGTTATTTAACTTCTTCACATATGCATTCCTGGAAATGCGTTTGAAGCTGATTTCGCAAAACTCAAACAACAGATTATTGTGTTGTAAAGGACATTCTATTCACTGAAGATTACGCAAATTATGAAATCCCAGATTACTTCTCACCAGTTAGGTGCCGTTGTCAAAGATATATTTCCAGGATTTCATGCACATTAATTGAAAAAATAATTGGATTTATCTTACTATATATATTTTGGTTCTGATTATGAAAGCGATGCCAATTTTTTTTTTCCAATTGTTAGAGAAATACTAATGTGGAAAGTACAGGTGGGGAAGGGTTCCACATGCACAAATGCCCACAAAGTGTTTGTGTATGCCCAGGGAGGGGCAGTGCCCCCAAGGTCGGCAAGGCCCTACATGTCAAAGCATCAGAATACAGAAAATGAAAGAAATGGTTAATTCAGCATGGTTAGTACTTTACTTTTGCCAAGTTGCCCTCTCCGAAGGTTCTACCAAGAGACGCCCTCTCCAACAGTTTAAAGATTTCCCATTTCCCCAAACCTCCAACTCTGGGAATTCTCGAAGTTCTTCATTTGGTTAAACTGAGAGGGAAATTGACTGGATGGTGAAAAGCACACACATGCTCCACTCGTATCCAATTCCTCCAAAGTTAAACATACGATCACTAGCTTAAGCCTCAAAGAGTCCAGCTAAAGGTCAAGATTTGCTGCTTTTGGCACGAGCTTCACCTCCCGCCACTCCCCCACCCTTCTCACTAAGCTCCAGCCACACTGACCTTCAGCTTCCTTCAATAGACCAAGCCCCTTTCCACCTCAGGGCCTTTGCACATGACACTCCCTCTGTCCTGCACTTCCTTACTTAAGTAACTCCTATTCGTCCCTTGAGCAGATTCATGAAATCAGAAAAAAAAAAAAAGAAATGAACCTGCTTCATAGACTTGCTATAAGGATCAAATGAGATACATAGTTTAAAACACTTGGCACAATTTTTAGAAAGTGTTAGGATTCAGCTCAAGAGGCACCTCCTCCATGAAGCCCTCCCTGACCACCCTACCCAGGTCAGGTTCCCTTTGTAATCCTTTCTCATGGACTTCTCCATTTCTTTTGTGGTATATACCATAAATATAATTACTTGCAATATCATCTGCTTCATGTTTCTCTTTCCCATTAAGACCATGACTCCAGAAGGGCAAAATGCCTGCCCCACAGGAGGCACCTGACACATGTCTGTCAAATTAATGAATAGATGAATCAAATGGACTCATCTTTGACTCAATTATACTAAAGTGTCAGAGACTACACATCTTATCACTGTTATCAGCATGTCCATTTTCTCCTTTTCCACACCATTTGATAAAGACAAAGGATGCAGTAATGCTCACACCACTGCATAAACAAGTCACATCTGTCCAGGCCCAGATGGCCACAAATGTTGGTGGGTAGCCAGCACCCCCATGTGACTGCTAGAAATGTTCGTTTTTCTGTTCATGTACAATGATAACATTCAATAATACTTCAGTTAGATGTTCCATTTGTCCTTCCCAATGGACTCTCGCCCTTCTCCCCTAGCTCTGTGTCCCAAGAGGACGACAGTATGACTGGCTCCCTTGCCCTCCTTGCCTTCTGGTGCAGCCAGTGAGAGGCTCTAGTAGGTGATGGGAGGGTAGAAGGAGAGAAGAGGGCAGGGTCTTTATTCTCTTGTTGCTGATCATAGGCTGCATCTGGTGACTCCATTGCAAAGTACAGAAGGTGGCAGCAGGAGTGATGCAATGTGACTTCCAAGGCTAAGTCATAAAAAGATACAACTTCCACATGACTTTCCTTTTCTTGGCTCACTCTAGAGAGGCCAGCTGCCCCATTGGGAGTATACTCAAGCATCTCAAGTAGGGAGGATTGAGGAATTCCACCAACAACCAGCATCCACCTGCCAGCCATGTGAGTGAGCCACCCTGGAGGCAGATCCTCCAGCCCATCAGACCTTCAGATGACTACAGCCAGAGACCCCGACCAGAAAAGCCCAGTGAAGCTTCTCCTGGATTCCTGACCCACAGAAAGTATATGAAATAATAAGTCTAGGGATGATTTGTTACGCAGCAATAGAGAAATATTACAGCTGCTAATAACAGTCCTTTGCTCCCGCCTCAGGACCTTTGCACTTGCTGTTCATTCTGCCTGGAACTCTCTTCCTCCACCTCCTTCAGGTATCCCCTGAGATGTTACTTCCCGCTGCCTTCCCTGATTCCTCGTCCCCCGTCCCCACATCTCAGTTCACGTTTCGCCCTAGTGCTTATTTCCTGTCCAATTATATGTTTGTTTCTTGTCTATCTCCTCCACTAGAATGACACCTTATGAGGACAGGGTCTTTGCTTTGTTCTATGCTCCATCCGCAGTGTCTGGCACAGTGCTTGGCACAGAGTAAGTACTCAATATGGTGTCATGAGAATCTAACAGTCTTGATTTTTATCATAACTGGATTGGTCTCCCACATGTTTTCTGCCCACTTGGTGCCCACCCTGGCCAGGGGAGGACATAGCTGTGACCTCCCCCTCCATTGGGTAAGTAGTAATTGGCAACTCCAATGGGAAAGACCCTCCCTGCCTCTCCACTTCCCTCAGGATAAAATCCTAGGTCCTCTGTGCAGCCTACAGACCCCATGCCTGCCTGAAATTCCACCATTCAGCCACAAAGACCATGAACTGTTTACATTTGCTAATAGAGTAGTCTCCAGACCTACAAACAAAGCTTTAGGATTCAAGCAGAAAACATTAGAACACATTTTTTTATCTCCAGTTTTTTGTTTGCTAAAGAATATCTTTATGTAATAAATGCATTATAAAATAATCTACAGAATCTATTTGGTATAACTATATTTGTGTATCATTTATAAATAAATATCCATCCAGGTGTGGAGCTGCAACATTTTTACTGATAGGGGTACACAGTTGGAAAAAAAATTTTAGAGTCACTTATCCTAATGCAATTCTTCCCCCCAGAGGACATCTTGCAATGTCTGGAGACATCTTCAGTTGTCAGGACTGGAGGAGGGGGTGCCACTGGCATCTAGTGGGTGGAGGCCAGGGATGCTGCTAAACATTCTACAACGCACAGAACAAGCCTCACGGCAAAAAAACTCTCCAGCCCAAAAGGTCAGCAATAAGGAGTCTGAGAAGCCCTGACCTAAAGCGCCAGGGCCTTTCCTGATTCTGGGGTCTTTACACAAGCCGCTTCTTTCCCCCACTCTATTCTTCACCTAGCTAAAACCTCAAACTTCAAGGACTCTATACGAGCCATCCCGTCCTCCAAGAAGCCATCCCTGAAGCCTCCAAACTGGGCCAGAGCCCCTCCTAAGGGCTCCTCCAGACCCCTGTGCTAGGGAGGTTGGAATCGTCCTGGACCACGGGGTTCTCAGTCTTTGGATTTACAATGCAGATTCACCGGAACCGCGGACATTCAGATTCTGCTGGACTGCTGGGACCAGGAACCTGTTTTTTTAACAAGCACCTCCCCCATCTCCCCACTGCCTGTCCCTTTGGACCTGCACAGAGTAGCTGGCCCAGTGACTAGTTTGCCTACTAGTTTGCATGCCAAGTGCTACTAAGCGTTCTACCCAGGGTCTAGAATCCTGGCGTGCGCGGGCACGCACACACACAGAGATTCAGGATGTAGTCACTATTATCACCCCCATTTTATAGAGGGGTAAACTGAGGTTCAGAGAGGGGACCTGGCTGGGAAAGAGATTCAGAGAGAGAAAGGGGTCCAGGTCCCCCATTAACACCTGATCCCCGGGTGAGGGGAGAGGGCGAGGAACTGGGGGAGCGCGAGCTGTGGGTCGAGGGCCGCACGAGTGGGTGGGAGATTCGCTGCGGCCTTCCGATGCGCCCCACCCCCACGAGAGACGTGAAGACGCGGACCCCGCGCAGCGTGGGGACATGTGACCGACTGCAGAGGCCGCGCCGCCTCCCCTGCCCGAGGTCTGCGCGTTCAGCCGCAGGGTGCAGACCCCGGGCGCCCTCCTGGGTTGGAGGCGCAAGAGCAGAGGCGGAGCCAGGGCGGAGCCAGCGCGCCCCCCCAACACCGAAAGCGAAAGAGAAGGCCAGGAAGGAAGGGCGGAGCCTGCCCGGAGCCCCGCCCCCTGCCCTGCGCGCTGCTGGACCTCGTGGCGCGCCCAGGTAGGGGGGCGCCGAGCGCGCAGTGCGGACCCTCGCGGGGAACTGCGTGGTCGTCACCATGTCGCAGGAAGGTGTGGAGGTAGGAGATGGCTGCAGCAGGGCTGGGGGCCAGCAAGAGATGCCAGGGAGGGGCCAGGGCCGCGGAGAGGGTTTCGCAGTTTCTGGGTACTCCATCCGAAGCCCACACCTTCCCCCGGGCTGGCTCTCGTCCCCACCTCAGAAAATAGAGTGACCGCCATCTCCCCCCAGACGAGATGCGGCCTCCTCGACGAAAAGCGGGGGCAGCAGGGTCAAGGGTCAGAGGCCAGGGGTTACCTGGCCGACCTCCTCCCAAGCCTGGGACGCTTTCCCCAGTCCGCACCCTCCCCCAGTAACCGTGGGGACTTTGGCTTTTTCCGGGAAATGCCCTGGAGGGATGGGGTGGGGGTGCGAAGGCCAAAACCAAGGGTCAAGTTCAGGCCGGGAGAAGGATGCCTAGAAATGGGGGAGGGACAATTGTTCTTCCCCCATCGGAGTCCCCCTGTCCCCACCTCAGCTGGAGAAGA